TCCTTAGAGGCCCAATGCCAGTGTCATCTTTGGCTCTCTAACTTCACTATGCAGAATTAATTGCCCTTTTCTCTCCACATAAAAAGACAGGTATTTTAAAGGCACCCAATCATTCTAAACCAGTTAATTTCTTGTTCTAATTGGTTTAGAGTTATCAGCTTCTTGTTGAGTTGAGGTAAATGTGGTGAATATGTTTCCAAAAGAAGAAATATGAAAATATTTCAAGTGTTGGCAGCAGTGTCAAAATAGCATCCCAATACAATTAAAGAACAGCTTTCACTTGAGTGTATATAAGTTCTAGGATGGCAGGTAAACATAACATCATGATTATACAGTTTGACAAATAGCAGTAGCTGGGAAGGTTTTTTAAGGTAAGAATGAGCTTTAAAAAAAATTGGGGGTGGGAAGGTGGAGCCTGGCTCAGTGGCTCATGCCTGTAATCTCAGCACTTTGGGAGGCCAAGGTGGGTGGATCACCTGAGGTTAGGAGTTCCAGACCAGACTGGCCAACATGGTAAAACCTTGTTTCTACTAAACATATAAAAATTAGCCAGGTGTGGTGGCAGGCATCTGTAATCCCAGCTACTCAGGGGCCTGGGGCAGGAGAATCACTTGAACCCGGAAGGGAGAGGTTGCAGTGAGCCAGGGTCATGCCATTTAACTCTAGCCCCACAGTTGATTTTTTTTTCTGCAAGTAATATAGCTGTACCTGGAATTAAAAAAAAATAAGTCACAAAGCTTTGTTTAGAAAGTTGATTTAATTTTCTAATCTCTTGGTCCTTTAATCAAATCAAACTGATCTTTGCTTAAGATCCTATGTATAGACAAGTATAAATTTGGCTTCCAGTTGAAACTTTCTAAAGTAGCCTCAGTTTACCTGACCCCTTACCACTTATTTTCTCATTGTTCTGACTTTAACTCCTTTGAAATGGCCTGCCCCTTCCTAGTCTATACCTTTGACTATCTTGTTTTCTCTATTTAGAAGAGTCTTCCCTAGTGTTTTTTTTAAATGTATCTAACTACTGCAAGTCTCTGCTTAGACGTCACTTCCTCCAGGAAGCCTCTCTTAATATCCCAAGTTTATGTTAGTTGTCCATACTTCTTGCTCCCATATCACCATGAACTATAACATTAAAATATTATAATTTCCAGGTGACTTGTCTGTCTTCTCCCACATTATTTTAAACTCTGAAGGAAGGATTGTTTGTCTTCTTGTTCACTTTATCAATTAGGTCCTCATTATCCCTTAGGTCACTGGTATGTGGTGTTTGGTGAATGTTTTTGGGAATTAGTGTTTATATTTTTATTTGTTTTTTTTTTTGTTTGTTTTTAATACTTTTATTGATTTATTTTCTTTCTCTTTTTAAAAATTTAATTGTTTGTTTTGTGTGAGTGAGTGTTGACAAGTTTGGATTACAGCTGAGCACAATGGCACATGCTTGTTGTCCCAGCACTTTGGGAGGCCAGGGCAGGCAGATCACTTGAGCTCAGGAGTTCGAGACCAGCCTGGGCAACATGGTGAGACCCTGTCTCTACAAAAAATACAAAAATTAGCCAGACATGGTGGGACACATCTATAGTCCCAGATACTTGGTGGGGCTCAGGCAGGAAGATAACTTCAACCCAGGAGGCTGAGGCTGGAGTGAGCTGAAACTGCGCCACTGCACTCCAGACTGGGTGACAAAGTGAACCCCTGTCTCAAAAATAATAAAAGCTTGGATTACACTATTTTATTAAAACAGATTAACATGGCTGGGTGTGGTGGCTCGCACCTGTAATCCCAGCACTTTGGGAGGCCGAGGCAGGTAGATCACTTGAGGTCCAAAGTTTGAAACCAGCCTGGCCACCATGGTGAAACCCCGTCTCTATTAAAAGTACAAAAATTAGTCGGGCATGGTGGCATGTGCCTGTAATTCCAGCTACTCGGGAGGCTGAGGCCGAAGCAGGAGAATTGCTTGAGTCCAGGAGGGGGAGGTTGTGGTGAGCCAAGATGGCACCACTGCACTCCAGCCTGGGCGACAGAGGGAGACTGTCTTAAAAAAAAAAAAAAAAAAGTAAAAATAAAAATATATTAACATGATTTAAGAAATTCTGCACTTCAGCATTAGTATAAAGACTTTAATACTGTCTGGGCATGGTGGCTCACACCTATAATCTTAACACTTTGGGAGGCCGAGGCAGAAGGATTGCTTGAACCCAGGCGTTCAAGACCAGCCTGGGCAACATAAGGAGACCTCATCTCTACAAAAAATACAAAAATTGACCTCTACAAAGAACAAAAAAATTAACCAGCTGTGGTGGCACACGCCGAGTAGTGGTCCGAGCTACTTGGGAGGCTGAGATGGGAGGGTCACTTGAGCCCAGGAGGTCGAGGCTAATGCTGTGATTGTGCCACTGCACCCCAGACTGGGCAACAGAATGAGACCCTATCCATATAAAAATAAAGACTTTAATCCTAAAAGTTGACACATCTATTTTAGACAGCATATGTTGGTTCAAGTCATCCTTTACTATTTTTTTAAGACGGACTCTTGCCCTGTCACTCTGGCTGGAGTGCAGTAGCATGATCTCAGCTCACAGCAACCTCAGCCTCCTGAATAGCTGGGATTATAGGCACCCACCACAATACTGGGCTAATTTTTGTATTTTAGTAGAGGGGGGGTTTCACCATGTTGGCCAGGCTGGTCTCCAACTCCTGACCTCGGGAGATCCACCTGCCTTGGCCTCCCAAAGTGCTCGGATTACAAGCGTGAGCCACCATGCCCGGCCAAAGACATCTTTTAAAAGTCAAAGATTTAAAGTATGAAGGGATCTCCATGTTTACCTATTCAAGATTACTGCATAGCACAGAATCAGCTGTATTCTTAGATTTTGTGGTACTGTTAAAAAAAATACAATATTGTAAAAATAGTATATGGAAAAATACTCTAATCCTACCATTTTCATCTTTGTTTTTCTTCTAATCTTTGTCCCTAGTACAGACAACTTTGAATTCTGCTTTTTATGTTTTACCCTTGTATATGTGAGCATTTATCATGTTGCTGCCTAGTCTATATTACATAGTATTGTTACACTATGTTAACTGTAATACTATAACTCTAATACTTATTTACTTGTGTTTAATTACATGATATTTTATAAAATTGGTAAACCAAGCTTTAACTATTTCCTTATTGTTCAACATTTTTTATTATTTTCTAGTTTTGTCCAATTAGACATTAAATGGTAGAGTAAATCACTAAATGGATTGAACATATAACTGGCATAAATACAGACTCATTTTAATTTGCATCTCTTTAATAGCTGGAAAAGTTCAATATTTTTTCATGTGTGTTTACTTTTTTTCCACTTTTCCATCTTGTGTGAATTCTTGTTTATTGAGCAATTTATTGTTATTTTGGTTTGAAGGTCTTTATATTATCTACATTTCAATGCTTTGTCATTTTTCCCATTCCATTACTTTTCTTAGAGTTTAATTATTTCTCAAGGAAGAGAGAGTCAACATTTTAAATGACTGGATCAGTCTTTTTATTTCTGCCACTCAACAAATTCAAATGAATCATTCCTTTATAAATCCATCTGGAGTTTGTGTTATAAAGGATTTAGATTGTTTTCTAAATTGTTATCCAGTTTTCTTTACACCAAGACAGTTTAATTTTTTAGATTCAGAGAGTTTCTGGTAGGTGAGGAATGGCCTGAGGAGGCAGAGGCCACACTACGGTGGTAGAAAGGTGGTTTATGTACCCAGAATCAGTCCACAGACCCTCCAAGCAAGACAAGGAGTTACAGCTGCCTCAGTGCCCCCTAGTGACCATCAGACTACTCCTGTGTCCCTTCAGAACTTAGGTTCATTTTAACCTCATTTCAACCCATACCAAAATATTAAGGGGAAAGAGGTGGGAAGACTGCTATGTAACATGCTCTCAGAGATGGCTAATGGATGATCTAAGCCTACCTTAGATTAATACCTCCTAGCAGCTGGGGGTAAGGGTTAGATGGTATGTTTTACCTCCTGAAAGAAAACTTTTGAAAGCCAGCTGTGATTTGTTGGAAAGTTCTTATGTTAAATTTAAATTTGCCTCCTTTGTAACTTTGTACATTATTTTTGTTTTGCCTTCTGAAATAAGACTATTTAACTCTTAAGAGGAATGGCAGTTTGGGATGCTGGAAATCTAGAAGTAAAGATACCATTCAGGAGCATCTGGGTCCTGACCCTTCTCAATCCCCATGAGGATGTGAGCTCAGTGACAGAGGGTTCATTTCTGGAATCAAGAATGGGTTACTACTTTTTCTTTCTTTTCTGAGACAGGGTCTTACTCTGTCACCTAGCCTGGAGTACAGTGGTATGATCTCAGCTCACTGTAACCTCCACCTCCCAGACTGACGCAATCCTCCCACCTCAGCCTCCCAAGTAACTGTGACTACAGGTGTGCACCACCATGCCTGGCTAATTTTTTTTTTTTTTTTTTTTCCTGTAGAGACAGGGTCTCAACATGTTTCCCAGGCTGGTCTTGAACTCCTGGGCTCAAGCGATCCTCCTACCTCGGACTTCCAAAATGCTGGGATTACAAGCGCAAAGCCACCATGCCTAGCCTATTACTGCTTTTGATAAATTAATCTGTTTTTAATGTATTTGAGTGTGTTTGTATCCGTTCAGGTGTTTCCTCTTCCCACCAATCTGTAGTTCAACAAAAACAATGTAGTCCACTTCTACTAATAGCCCCACAAATTCTGAAGTTGGCTATTCATTCTTTTTAGTTGGTTTCAGTTTTGATATTTAAAGCAGTTTCAAATACACTGCTATTCAAGTTGCTCTCTAGACAAAATTCTAATTTATCAGTCAGTATGGCTCCTTTATATTTGGTGTCTATGTGACATTTGTTAGTATTTAAAAGAATAGTTGATAATACATTTCCTTTTCTAAAGTCTAGACATGGTTGAAAATTACTTGAAGTTACTTAGAAAATACTATTTTAATAAGCAATTCTAAATCTCTTTTAGAACAATTATATGATGGCTATGATGAAGAGTATGATTGTCCCATTTTAGATGAAGACAGAGTAAGTATGACTTTCACAAAGTATGCATTTGTTGAATTTAATAGGAAAGTTGACTTCAGTTTTCTTAAGAAGCATTTTTTTCAACTTTTCTTACAGGTAGTTGATGAGTTAGATAACCAAATGAGAGAAGGTGGAGTTATTGTTGATTACCATGGTTGTGATTTCTTCCCTGAACGCTGGTTTCATATAGTTTTTGTGCTGAGAACAGATACCAATGTATTGTACGAAAGACTTGAAACAAGGTAAGAAAGGAAAAACATCAGATTCTTAAAGCATAATATCAACTTTTATTCAGATTCCTGAAATTGGCCAGTAGTACCATGATAAAGGGTTTTTGGTTTTGGTTTTGGTTTTTTTTTTTTTTGAGACAAAGTCTTCCTCCATCAACCTGGCTGGAAGGCAGTGGTGCGATCTCGGCTCACTGCAACCTCCACCTCCCTGGTTCAAGCAAGTCTCATGCCTCAGCCTCCTGACTGAGGCCACAGTCACATGCCACCATGCCTGGCTAATTTTTGTATTTTTTGTAGAGATGAGGTCTCACCATGTTGCCCAGACTGGTCTCAAACTCCTGGGCTCAAGCGATCTGCCCACCTCAGCCTCCCAAAGTCCTGGGGTTACAGGTGTGAGTCACAGCACCCAGCTAATAAAGGGTTTTATTTGAAAATATGACTACTTTAAAATATGGGCAGTACTTTCTGAGTAAATTAATATCTCAACTGACAAATCTGATTGAGCAAAATGTACTGTGTAGAAACCCTATTTAGACATGCTTTTTCTTTGATGTAAAAACCCTTACTAGGAAAACAGCCAAATCCCTAACATACTCTGCTTACTGACTGTACTTCCACAATTTATCCCCACATCAGTAATGGGAAAGCTTATGAAAAACTAACAAAATAAACCAGTATGTCACAATCTTTACCAGATACCTGAGTTAAACCCACAAATGGAGCATCAGATTTAATGCAGAAGAACGAGTAAAGAGAAACTTTTAGGGAAGTCTTTTTTCCTCACTGTCTTTTGATCAAAGCCGTGGGAATATGGGGATTCTAGAGAAATTAGAGCGCAATCTCAGAAAGGAAAGCTCCAGAATTTTGCTTAAGGTCAGAGACAGAATTTATGGTTTTTACTGATTAGAATCAACTCTGACTAACCACTATTATTTGGGATACTTGTAAAATCCCTGCACAGAATAGTATGGTAGCAAATACATGTATAGAAGAAGTTAAATTGGGGCTAGACCTAAAACTTACTTTCTTTTTTTTTTTTTTTTTTTTTTTTTTGAGAGGGAGGGTCGCTCGTGTTTCCCAGGCTGGGGTGCAATGGCGCGATCTCGGCTCACCGCAACCTCCGCCTCCTGGGTTCAGGCAATTCTCCTGCCTCAGCCTCCTGAGTAGCTGGGATTACAGGCACGTGCCACCATGCCCAGCTAATTTTTTGTATTTTTAGTAGAGACGGTTTCACTGTGTTGACCAGGATGGTCTTGATCTCTTGACCTCGTGATCCACCCGCCTCGGCCTCCCAAAGTGCTGGGATTACAGGCGTGAGCCACCGCGCCCGGCCCAAAACTTACTTTCTTAAGGCAGTGAAAAGCCATGAAAAGTTTTGGGGCACAGAAGTAATAGAGACTATATGATACATATATGTGGTACATATGCCTTTTTTCAATCAAGACAAATTAAAATTTTGATTAAAAAGTTACTGTTTTACATATATAGCCAAGGGTATGACTAAAGTATGAAAAAAACTATGAGAGAGCTAGTTAGTATTTTAAACTATTGAAAAGGTTATAAAAAAGTAACAGCTTTAGGCTGGGCATGGTTGAGTGGTCGGGGGGAAGCAGGATGGCTCACATCTCACACCTGTAATCCCAGCAATTTGAGAGGCTGAGGCAAGATGATTGCTTGAGCCCCGGAGTTTGAGACCAGCCTGGGCAACATAGCAAGGCCCAGGTCTCTACAAAAAAATAAAAAATTTACCCAAGTGTGGTGGCATGCACCTGTGGTCCCAGCTACCTTGGAGGCTGAGATGGGAGGAATGCTTGAGCTTGGGAGGTTGAGGCTGCAGTGAGCCATGACTGCACCACTGCACTGCAGCTTGCTTGACAAAACAAGACTCTGTCTCAAAAACAGCAACCAAAAAACAAAAATAATCTACCTTATTGAGATTTAATTTACATTCAACCATTTAAAGTACATAATTCAGGTTTTTTTTCCCAGTTTTATCTATACATAGTAGGTGTATATATCAGTTGTTCAATTGTTTTTTTGTATATCAAAAAGTTGTACAATCATTACCACAACCAATTTTAGAAATTTTTTGTCACCCCGAAAGAAACCCCATACCCAGTAGTAGTCACTCCCCACTTAACCCTCAGTTCCCCAGCCCTAGGCAACCAATCATCTACTTTCTATCTTTATGGATTTGTCTATACTAGACATTTCATATAAATGAAATCATACAGGATATGGACTTTTATGTCTGTCTTCTTTCAATTAGTATGTTTTCAAGGTTCATTTGTGTTGTAGCATGTACCAGTACTTCATTCCTTTTTATTGCCAAATACTATTCCCTTATATGGACATATCATTTTTAAAATACATTTATCAGGTTGTGGACATTTGGGTTGTTTCTACTTTTTGGCTGTTATGAATATTGTATCTATAAACATTTTTGCACATGTTTTTGTGTGCACATCATGTGTTTATTTCTCTTGTTTATATATCTAGGAATTGAATTGCTGGGTAATATGGAAACTTTTTATTTGAACCTTTGAATAACTGCCAAATTGTTTTCCTTAGTGGCTGCATCATGTCATATTCATACTATCTGTGTATGAGAGTTCTAATTTCTCCACATCCTCACCAACATCTGTTATTGTTCATATTTTGGTTGTAGTCATCCATGTGAATTGTAATTTTGATTTGCATTTCCTTGATCGCTAGAGATGCTGAACATCTTTTCATGTGCTTATTAGACAGCTGTGTATCTTCCTTGGAGAAATACTCAGAACCTTTGCTCAGGTTTTAATTGGGTTGCACATCTTTTTATTATCAAGTTATGGGAGTTCTGCTAAAAATTCATTGGGAATTTATTGAATAGTTGACAAATTGTGGGGGGAAAAATTCAGACAAATCTAAATGTTGGGCTCGTGATCCTTAGTTAACCCTAGTGTCAATAAACTTTATAGTATAAACAGGTATCATTCTTTCCTCTCTAGGTGAAGAGACCATGATAAGTGTCTTTCTATAATTTTTTATGTATTTGAAAGTGTTCAGTTTCTGGTATGTTTCTAAAACTCCAATTGATGCCACTTACTTTTCTCTTTGTTTGCTTAACCTCCCTGCCTTCTAGGGGTTATAATGAGAAGAAACTAACAGACAATATTCAATGTGAGATTTTTCAAGTTATTTATGAAGAAGCCACAGAATCCTACAAGGAAGAAATCGTGCATCAGCTGCCCAGCAATAAACCAGAAGAGCTAGAAAATAATGTAGATCAGATCTTGAAATGGATTGAGCAGTGGATCAAAGATCATAACTCTTGACTTATAAGGCTAGCTACTTTATAATCACTCTTGTTGATATCTGTCTGCCAACATCATAGAAATTGTTCAGGTATCAGTAACGCTTTATTAAAATCACCTTGCAGGACTAGCAGGTGGATAGTATATAGGTTTATGCCTGTGTTTCTTTTTCTCCGTGAGAAAGCTAAACATCTGAAATATAATGAATATAGCATTATTAAGCACTGAGGCAAAAACTGTGATTTTAATACTTAAATTGCTAAAGATAAATCTGACAAAATGGGTGGATATCTTTTAATTTTATTACAGAAAAAAATACAGATGATCACTTAAAATAAAACTGAAGCATCAGAGTATTCCTTTTTTCTTTAAATTGGAGGAAAAGGGAAATGTTGTACTCTATACAAAATTCAAAACGTATAAAAAGTGTTGAAAAGTTAGATCTCCCTTCCAGACCACCCTATTTCCAGGCACCACAGGTTCCTTCCCTTTAGAAATAATGTTACTGGTTTCCCATATGTCTTTTCAGAGGTTTTATGCCTGCAGTATATATATATATGTGTGTACATTTTTAAAAGAATATAATAGGATGTTGTACACACTATTCTGTACCTTTTTTCACTTAATGTATTTCATCCACTTAGTATATCTTATATATCAGCATATATATCATCTCAGTACAGACCTCCCTCTTCTTTTTTTTTTTAGTTGAGATATACATATCATACGATAAAATTTACCATTTTAAAGTGTATAATCAGAACCGGGTATGGTGGCTTATGCCTGTAATCCCAGCAACTGGGGAGGCTTAGGTGGAGAATGGCTTGAGGCAGGAGTTCAAGATCAGCCTGGGCAATATAGCGAGACCTCAGACTCTAAAAATAAACATAAATAAAATTTACAGTCCATTGGTTTTTAGCTTATTAACAAGGTCATGTAACTGTCACCACTGTGGGGGAAGCAGTGATGCTAAAGGGAAATCTTATACCCTTCAGCAGTCACTCTCTGTTCTTTTCTCCTCATCCCCTTGCAGTCACTAGTCTACTTTCTGTCTCTATGGATTTGTGTATTCTGGATATTTCATATCAATGGGATTATGCAATATGTGGCCTTGTGTGTCCAGTTTCTTTCACTTAGCATAGTGTTTTCAAAGTTCATCCAAGTTGTAGTATGTACCAATATCTCGTTCTTTTTATGGTTGAATAATATTCCATTATATGGTTATACTACATTTTGCTTATGTTTTCCATCACTTGCACAATTAGGTTGTATCCACTTTGGGTACTGTGAAGTAGAATACATAATAGTAGCATACTATGAGCATTCATGTACAAGATTCTGTGTAGATGTATGTCTTCAGTTTTCTTAAGCATATACTCGGGAGGGGAATTGCTGGGTCATAGAACAATTGTGTTTTAACTTTTTGAGGACATGTCAAACTGGTTTTCAAAGTGGTTGCAGCATTTTATGTTCCCACCATCAACGTATTTGGGACTGTTTCTTCACATTCTTGCCAACAGTTGTTACAGTCTATCTGTTGATTTTTACCATTTCAGCGATTTTTATTAGGGTAAATGTTTGAACTTACTTCAGTTGCAGGCATGAAGGGGGTGAAGTCTCTCTTTCTCTCTACATGGGCCACTCCCAGGGTCTGGTCATAATAAACCACCACAGGGGGCAGAGCTTCAGTCCTACACCACCAGGTGAGATTTCCTCCAGCAGCTGCTTACCCTCTCACTCCCAGCTTTCCTTTTGCAGTTTCTTCTACTGCTCTCTCTTGGCAAAGTAATCAGGATAAACTGCCTTCTCAGAAGGGTGCCAGTCATCTAAGCACCATGCCAGAGACACAGCATAGCACTCATATTTCTCATAGGAAGTACTCCCGGTAAGTCAGGGAAAAGAAGGGCTGTGAATGCTGACGGTACCAGAATTCCTCTGCCTCCCTCAGCAGTGGGGTAGCCTTCATCATATCCTGTTCTTTCCTATGCTTTAAAACTGGGCTCTCATCAAACAAGCGAAGTACCGTTATTTGTCTCTGGATGTACCGTGGCTTGAGGTGCTGCAGCACCTGCTTACAAAGCAGCAACACCTTCTGCTTATGGGTCAAGTAGGTCCTCCATCATCGAGAACACCATGACTGCCTGCTCCCATCTTTTTTATTATAACCATACTATTGGGTGAGTAGTCATATCACATTTTTGGTTTTGATTTACATTTCTCTAATGATTAATGATGTTGAGCATTTTTTCATGGGCCTAATGGTTTATCTTCTTTGGATCCCTCATTTTTTTTTTTTTTTAAGATGGAGTTTCGCTTCTGTTGCCCAGGCTGAAGTATAATGGCATGATCTTGGCTCACGACCACCTCTGCCTCCCAGGTTCAAGTGATTCTTCTACCTCAGCCTCCCGAGTAGCTAGGATTACAGGCATGTGCCACCACACCCATCTAATTTTGTATTTTTAGTAGAGACTGGGTTTCTTCATGTTGGTCAGGCTGGTCTTGAACTCCTGACTCAGGTGATCTGCCTGCCTTGGCCTCCCAAAGTGCTGGGATTACAGGCATAAGCCACTGCGCCCAGCCTCATCTTTTAATGTTTGCATAAAATGCCATTAATGAGGCTGGTTCATGCCTGTAATCATGATACTTTGGGAGGCTGAGATGGGTGGATCACCTGAGGTCAGGAGTTGGAGACCAGCCTCACCAACATGGTGAAACCCTGTCTACATTAAAATACAAAAATTAGCCGGGCGTGGTGGCAGGTGCCTGTAATCTCAGCTACTTGGGAGGCTAAGGCAGGAGAATTGCTTGAATCTGGGAGTCGGAGGTTGCAATGAGCTGAGATCGCATCATTGCACTCCAGCCTGGGCAATAAGAGTGGAACTCCATCTCAAGAAAAAAAAATTTTTTTAATGCCATTAATGATATGCCAAGTACCCAGGCACTGTGGCTCACACCTGTAATCCTAGCACTTTGGGAGGCTGAGGCAGGCGGATGGCTTGATCCCAGGAGTTTGAGACCAATTGGCCAACGTGGCGAAACCCTGTTCCTAAAATAATTTTTTTTTTTAAATAGTCCGGGCACAATGGCTCATGCCTATAATCCCAGCACTTTCGAAGGCCAAAGTGGGAGGATCACTTGAGCTCTGAATTCAAGACCAGCCCGGGCAACATAGTGAGACCTTGTCTCTATTTAAAAAAAAAAAAAAAAAAAAAAAAAACAAGAAAAAAGAGGCTGGGCACAGTGACTCCTGCCTATAATTTCAGCATTTTGGGAGGCCAAGACAGGTGGATCACTTGAAGTTAGGAGTTCGAGACCAGCTTGGCCAACATGGTGAAATCTTGTCTCTACTAAAAATACAAAAATTAGCCGGGCATGGTGGTGCATACCTGTAATCCCAGCTACTAGGGAGGCTGAGGCAGGAGAATTGCTTGAACCCAGGCAGCAGAGGTTGCAGTGAGCTCAGATCACACCACTGCACTCCAGCTTAGGCAAGAGAGTGAGACGCTGTCTCAAAAATAAATAAATAAAAATAAAAAATAATAGCCAGGCATTGTGGCAAGTGCCTGTAGTCCTGGCTACTCAAGAGGTTGAGGCAGGAGGATCACCTGAGCCTGGGGAGGTTGAGGCTGCAGTGAGCTGTGACTGAGCCACTGCACTCTATCCTGGGTGACAGAACTAGAGCTTGTCTCAAGAAAAAAGAAATGACACGTTTGATTTAATCAGTCCTTTACTGATGGACATTTAGGTTGTTTCCAGCTTTTTACTATTACAATGATGCAAGAATAGTAAAGACTAAATATATTACTATGCCACAAACTTCTAAACACATTTCAAAAGTGAATTCTTTAACCACATGACCACTTTCTGTGGTAAGTATTATTATTATTTCCATTACAGGTAATGGAACCAAGGCACAGATGACTTAAGTGACTTATCCAAGATTATAGCTAAAAAGTATTAGCTTCAGGGTTCTATCTTAGGCAGACTTTCACCCACTAAATTGTGCTGCGTAATGCATATGCAGTTATGCATATGGTCAAGTTTATCTGTTGAGTAAATTCCCAAAGATAAATTGTATCCAAATGTAACATTTAATAGACTTTTTTTTTTTTTTTTTTTTTTTTTTGAGACAGGCTCTTGCTGTGTCACCCAGGCTGGAATGCAGTGGCGCCATCATAGCTCACTGCAGCCTCAACCTCCTGGGCTCAAGTGATCCTCCCACCTCAGCCTCCGGAGTAGCTAGTGAAACCCTGTCTGTACAAAAAATATATAAATTATGCCAGTGGTTTGTGCTGCTGCATTACAACCTGGACAAAAGAGCGAGACTCCATCTCAAAAAAAAAGAAAAACCAACAAAAGTTAGCTGGGTGTTGTGGCATGTGCCTGTAATCCCAGCTACTCAGGAGACTGAGATGGGAGGATCACTTACACCCAGGAAGTCAAGGCTGCAGTGAGCTGAGATCGCACGACTGCACTCCAGCCTGGGTGACAGAGTGACACACCATCTTAAAAAAAAGACAAAGGCTGGGCGTGGTGGCTCATGCCTGTAATCCCAGCACTTTGGGAGGCTGAGGCGGGTGGATCACGAGGTCAAGAGATTGAGACCATCCTGGCCAACTTAGTGAAACCCCATCTCTATGAAAAATACAAAAAATAGCTGAGCATGGTGGCAGGCACCCGTAATCCCAGCTACTCAGGAGGCTGGGGCAGGAGAATTGTTTGAACCCAGGAGGTGGAGGTGTTGGTGAACCAAGATCACACCACTACACTCCAGCCTGGGGACAGAGCAAGACTCCATCTCCTGAATGAATGAATGAGTGAGTGAATGAATGAATAAAGAAACCATCGACCGGGTGCGGTGGCTCACGCCTGTAATCCCAGCACTTTGGGAGGCCGAAGTGGGTGGATCATGAGATCAGGAGATCAAGACCATCCTGGCCAACATAGTGAAACACTGTCTTTACTAAAAATACAAAAATTAGCTGGGCATGGTGGCTTGCGCCTATAGTCTCAGCTACACAGGAGGCTGAGGGAGGAGAATCACTTGAACCCGGGAGGCAGAGGTTGCAGTGAGCCGAGATGGGGCCATTGCATTCTAGTCTGGTGACAGAGTGAGACTCTGTCTCAAAAAAAAAAAAAAAAAAAAAGGACAAAAAAGAAAAGAAATTAGGCATGGTGGTGCACATCTGTAATCCCAGCTACTGAGGAGGCTAAGGCATGAGAATTGCTTGAACCCAGGAAGTGGAGATTGCAGTGAACCAAGATCATGCCACTGGACTCCAGCCTGGGCAACAGAGCAAGACCCTGTTTAAAAAAAAACAAAAAGAGCCAGGCACGGTGGCTCAC